GGACTACCTGTACTGGAGAGAGGGGGAAGGGTTTCAATAAGTAACCCAGCCACAAGGCATGAAGCGTTTGGAGTGGTCTAACTAACCAGGGGGAAGATCCTGGTGTAGAGTCAAACAAGAGCCTAACTCTCTAGGACAGTGGTGGTGAACCTATGGCATGGGTGCCAGAGGTGGCACTCAGAGCCCTCTCTGTGGGCACTCGCGCCGTTGCCCCAGTCCTAAGCCTTCAGCTGGGTTTTATAAAACCTTTTCGCTTTAGGCCTCCGCCGCCGTGTGCAAAAAAAATAAAGTTCAATCAATCAGTCAATTTCAACTTCTCGTGGAAAAAAAAAAGATCTTGCAAAGTTGGAATTGATTGATTGAACTTTTTAGTCCCACCCAGTCTGCCGTTACCACCTCAGCCACGCCCACCCAATGGGCCACACCCACCCAGCACCTGACGATGCATAAGTGGGTTTTGGGTTGCACTTTGGGCACTCGGTCTCTAAAAGGTTCGCCATCACTGCTCTAACAATTCAGAGGGAGATTGTATCTTGAAAACAATAACAAGATTATTATATCCTTCTACACTCACACCTGACCCACTGATGTCTTACACCAGACATGTCAAACACAAGGCCCCGGGGGTCGGATGCGGCCCGCGAAGTGGGTTTCATGTGGCCTGCAAATCCATCCTGGAAACAGTAAGGGAACGGCCCCCGCTGCCTTGGCCCTGGCCCAGGCCGGCCGGGAGCCAATGTACAATTTTGTGGTGGCCATCTATGCTGAAACGCATTCAGTCTTAGCTCCACAAGGCCGTCCAGAAACAGCGAGGAACCAGCCCCTGCCGCATTGGCCCCGCCCCCTGGGTGCATGGGGAGGGGTCACCCTTTGTGAGGAATAAAGAAATGGACCATGCCTTGGCGCTTGCCCCGGTCCCACCCCCTTCTGCCAGAGACCCTCAGATCTGTCCCACTCCTACCCAGGCCCCCACAGGTACCCTTGACGCGAACGATATAGAGCTGGCCATGCCCACCCAGCAGGCCACACCCACTCCATCTACGTCCACCCAGTAGGCCACACCCACCCTGCTCACACCCACCTGCCCCCCCCCAGGGCAACTGCAATGCTGATGTGGCCCTCAATGAAATTGAGTTTGACACCCCTGTCTTACACCCTCCAATGACCCTGAACTGAAGTAACCTTTGTGATTCAAACCAGAGTCAGCCACAGCAAGGTGAGGCGAGAGGTTTTCATTGGCTTTCTTTGCAAGGTATTTTTTTTTCCCTGTTAGGAAAGTGATTATATTCTCAGCTGTGCTGTAGGACGATCAGTCTCGGGCCAAAGTCCAAACTTTACCCTCTCAAACTCTTAACCCACCCAGTTCCTCTCCGAACGACCACCCCTTTGGCTTCCCAGGATTAAAAGCTGGGGGCGCCCGCGGGCGCCCTCTTGTAAGAGCCTCCTGCTTGCCCAGGTCAGCAGGAACAAGCCTTCAGGATCGCGGAGGAGCCGAGCGGAGTTGGGCGAGAAGAGTCCGAGGAGGGAGAACAGCTCAGTTCCCTGCAGTCCTCAAAATCTGGCGGAAACCCTTCCGGGGAGGGAGGTACATCTGCCCGGCTGCAGCTGCGCGGCTGGCCTGGGAAGGCGGAGCGCGGATCCTCGTCCTGCGCGCCTCTCTTTTGGGGATCGCGGGCTCGTTCCTCAAGGGCCGGTGCGAGGGAAACTCCCCACTGCCAAGGATCCGACCAGCCCCTGCGATTCATCTTTGCCCCTTGATGAGACGCTTCATAAAGGGTCAGGACTTTTGAAGAAGCATCTTTGGGGGGGAAAACCCCTCTGGAATACAAGGTGGAGAGGTATTGTGTGTGTGTACTTGTATGTTTGTGCGCTGCTCTGGAATACAAGGCAGAGGGGTATTTTGCGTGTGTGCTTGTGTGTTTGTGCGCGCTCTGGAATAGAAGGTGGAGGGGTATTTTGTGTGTGTGCGCTCTGGAATACAAGGCAGAGGGGTATTTTGTGTGTGTGCTTGTGTGTTTGTGCACGTTCTGGAATACAATGTGGAGGGGTATTTTGTGTGTGTGTGCTCTGGAATACAAAGTGGAGGAGTATTTGGGTGTTGGTGTGCTGTGGGATACAAGGGGGAGGGGTATTTTGTGTGTGAGTGTATATGCTCTGGAATACAAAGTGGAGGAACATTTTGTGGGTGTGGGTGTGGGTGTGGGCGCACTCTGGAATACAAGGTGGAGAGGTATTTTGTGTGTGCATGTGACTGTTTTATGTGTTTCCCCCCTTTTCCTGCATTAGGGTTGCCAGGTGTCCACTATTTGAGTGGACAGTCCACTTTTTTCACATTATGTTCACTATTTTTTTTCACAAAATAGTGGACATTTTTTTTTATTCAAAAGCTTTATGATGAAATGGTACGTAATCTAAAGCTGTACAGTCTACTTTTTTTTACTACTTAACCCCCCCCCCCCCCGCTTGTCCGCTATTTTTTGGAAGCAGACCTGGCAACCCTATCCTGCATCCACTTTTGGTCACCACGGCCGAGAAGAGCAACAAAGATGATCAGGGGACTGGCGGCTAAAACATATAAGGAACGGTGGCAGGAAGTGGGTATGTCTAGTTTAATGATGAGAAGGACTAGGGGTGACATGAGAGCAGGGTTCCAATATCTCATGGGTTGCCCTAAAGAAGAGGGAGTCAAGCTATTCTCCAAAGCACCTGAAGGCAGAACAAGAAGCAATGGATGAAAACCAATCAAGGAGAGAAGCAACCTAGAACTAAGGAGAAATTTGCTGACAGAAGAATTAAACAGTGGAACAACCTGTCTCCAGAAGTTGTGAACGTTCCAACAGTGGAACGAAGAGGTTGGACAATCATTTGTCTGAAATGGTATAGGGCAGGGGTCCCCAACCCCCGGTCTGTGGACGGGGACCAGTCGGGAGGATGTCAACAAGTGGGCCACACAAACAAGAAAAGCTCCATCCTCAGGATGCAGGCAGTATTCAAAACCACACCTGCTCTAGTCCGCGGAAAAGCCTTTCTCCATGGCACTGGTCCCTGGTGCCCAAAAGGTTGGTGACCTCTGGTATAGGATTTCCTGCCTGAGCAGCGGGTTGGTTTAGAAGACCTCCAAGGTCCCTTCTAGTTCTGTTATTCTATTATTCCTCTTAGCATGGGAAGCAAAAGCATTAATAGGAGCAGTAATCATTCATTCCCTTTAAATGCCACGGAATTCACATGAGCGATTTGCAAAGTGTTGTAAGGTTTAAAAACAAGGAAACCACAAAAGAACGGAGGTGGTGGGGGAGAGGATGGGAGGCAGAGATAAGAAATCAGAAAGAATAGGCTGGCTGAGGAATTCTGGGAGTTGAAGTCCACAAGTCATAAAAGGGCCAGGTTCGAAGACCCCTGGAATAGGGCTTCAGTAATTTCAAGGCCTTCAAAATCCAACAGGGTGGGTCACATTTGAATCTGGAGGGAAGGGAGGACTCTCGATCTCATTCTACAGTTTTGAATAAGGTTGCTTTTTTTCACTCAAGGAAAAACTTTGGATTTCTTTTTGCATTTCTTTTGCAACAGGGAGAAAATAAATGAACTCCCAACAGGCAGAAAGAGGAGTCCTGGCTGTGACTCATAGGATATTCTTCAAAATTTGATTAGAATAGAATAACAGTGCTGGAAGGGACCTTGGAGGTCTTCCTGCTCAGGCAGGAAACCCTATACCAGGGGTAGGCAACCTTGGCTCTTTTATGACTCGTGGACTTCAACTCCCAGAATTCCTGGGAGTTGAAGTCCACGAGTCATAAAAGAGCCAAGGTTGCCTACCCCTGCCCTATACCATTTCAGACAAATGACTGTCCAGTCTCTTTTTAAAAACTTCCAGTGTTGGAGCATGCACCACTTCTGGAGGCAGGTTGTTCCACTGATTAATTGTTCTGAGTAAATTTCTCCTTAATTCTAGGTTGCTTCTCTCCTTGATTAGTTTTCATCCATTGCTTCTTGTCCTGCCTTCAGATGCTTTGGAGAATAGCTTGACTCGCTCTTCTTTGTGGCAACCCCTGAGGTATTGGAACACTGCTATCATGTCACCCCTCGTCCTTCATTAAACTAGACCAGGGGTGTCAAACTCAATTTCATTGAGGGCCGCATCAGCATTGCAGTTGCCCTTGGGGGGGCGGGTGGGTGTGGCCAGGATGGGTGCAGCCTACTGGGTGGGAGTGGAGGGAGTGGGTGTGACCTACTGGGTGGGCGTGGCCAGCTCTACATTGTTCATGACAATGGTGCATGTGGGGGGCTGGGCAGGAGTGGGACAGATCTGAGGATCTCTGGCAGAAGGGGGTGGGACCAGGGCAAGTGCCAAGGCATGGTCCACTGGAGGAGCCTCACTGTTCCTCTCAGGCCATGGGGGGGGGGGCTGGATGGTGGTGCGGGCTGCCCGGAGCCCTGGGCAGCAGAGGTCAAATGCCCAGCCTGGCCCTCGAGCACCCGTGGCACCAAGCCCAGCCCCACTTCCCAAAGGGGGCGCCCAGCTGTACTTACCGCCTCCTCAAGGCTGCTGCTGCTGTGCTTGCTCTCCTTAGCCAGGTTGTTCATGATGGGTACCAGGGCAAAGTCACAGGGAGACTGAATGTGTTTCAGCATAGATGGCCACCACAAAATTGTACATTGGCTCCCAGCTGGCCTGGGCCAGGGCCAAGGCAGCGGGGGGGCTGTTCCCTCACTGTTTCCAGGATGGCTTCGCAGGCCACATGAAACCACTTCGTGGGCCGCATCCGGCCCCCGGGCCTTGTGTTTGACATGTCTGAACTAGACATACCCAATTCCAGTAACAGTTGTTTATATGTTCTAGTCTCCAGTAGCCTGATCATCTTTGTTGATTTTGAAGTGCTTCTTCTAGGGTCACTCTTAAGATTGCCCATCGCCTTGTAAAGATGATTCTGCATTGCCCTTCCTGATTATTTCCAGGGGAATTTTCTCTGGTGCTGTTTCAGATCCGGAAATCTTTGAGTTAAATGGCTGCTGAACTGCCCATGGGAAAGGAGGTTGACCCCTCTCCGGAGCTGCTGTTTGGGGGAGTCACTCAGGAGGATCCACCTCAGAAGAAACGATCAGGTAAAGGCATTCTTCTGATGCTGTTTAATCCTCCGGATTTATTTTGTCTGAGTGTCTTTGGAGATTCTCAGTCATCCGGGTCATAGTTGTCCCAAAGATGCTTTATCACGAGGCAACTGGACTTTCTTGTTTTTCCTTTGAAGACGTTTCACTTCTCATCCAAGAAGCTCTGACTGGAGGGTGGGGAATGGAAGGATTTATACTTCTTGCAGACAGCTGGTCATTTGCATTCTTGCGTGGGGAAACAAACCAACCACTTCATAAACGCATGGCACAACATAGGAGAAGAAACCCATCAGGACAAGATTTGGCAGTCCATCTCCATTTAAAAAACAAAGCCCTCATTTTGGACAGAGAGGACTGCTGGTTTAAAAGAGGGGTCAAAGAGACCATCTATGTCAAAACTGAACAGCCCTCTCTCAACAGAGGGGGAGGGATATGACATCATCTATCTCCTGTCTACAACACAGTCCTTTCAGCAGTTCCAAGAAGGCTCCAAGGCCATTTGCACTACTTAGGTGACTCTGACAACACAGATAAGCCTCCAGGTGGCCTCAAGGACTCTCTAAAAGAATGCAAATGACCAGCAGTCATTCCATCAGAAATGGTGTAGAGCAGGGGTGTCAAACTGCCAGCCCGCGGGCCGGACGCATCACCGGGAAACCATGCCCACCCCATTGCCGGCAATGGAGAAAAAAGCTCCGATACATTGCGCGACATCACGTGACGTCACGAGTTTGACATGTCTCTTGTAGAGTCTCCTGCTTGGGTGGAGTTTTGGAATGGATGACCTACAAGGTCCCTTCCAACTCTATAATTCTAATTTTAATTCTATTCCATTCCATTCCATTCCATATTCTATAAAAGAAAGGGGTTCTTTTCTAATTACCTTCAAAATGAGCAAAGCTGCTAAGTGTCAACGCTGCAAATACTGTATATTCTTGCTTTGACAATATGCAGCACTGTCTGGTATTTTTAGGATTAATGCAGAGCAGAAGAGGGTGGGGGGAAAAGCATGGGAAAGAAAGAGGAAGGAAACCTTTGACCTTCACACTAATTGGATAACCCGTGATATATGACAGCTAATTTAGGGAGGGAACATGCTGATAATTTAACTGCTCAGAGGAAGAGAATTTCAGATCTTAGCATCAACTTTCGTTATGCCTGTGCCGACATTTTGTAACAATAAATTACTTTTAGGAAAATCAATGCCTGGAAGTTCTTTGAAGTGTTTCATTAGCCGGAACCATAACACTAAGCTCGTGCTCTACCCTTATCATTTCCATAGATCTGAGTTGGACTTTGATAATCGCCATCTCTCATATCTCCACTGGATCTTCCTTGGTCTCCCATGACTGATAGAAACACCACTCAGCACAAGCCCCATACCTAGGCTTCCACTGTCTCCCACTTTCACACAACCTCATCAGTCTGAGTAACCCAGATGGGCTACGCTCTGGGCACAAGGCACTCATGCCTGCCAGACCTCCAGTTCACATAAGGAAAGAATGGACTTTCTGAATTTGAGGCTCCAGAATAGAGGAAGGGTGTTTTTATAACAAATAGTTCCTGGTTTCCCCCCCCCCCCACTCTCAGAGATAAGAGCGCCATCGATGGACTCTTCCGGAATATCTATTGTCTTTGGTGGAGGAATAGCAACACGTGGGCTTCCAAGGAAGGTACGAAAATCTTTCCCTCCTTCTGTTGGCAGAGAAGAAATTGAGGTTTTACTTCTGTAGAATTAGCCAAACCCATGAAAGTTTATACCAGTTGTATTTCTAATCAGAAGCCTGTATTTCTCCAGGGAAGTTGTTAATTGATCCTAGTTGAAAGCAGGAAGTTATAATAATAACAACAACAGAGTTGGAAGGGACCTTGGAGGTCTTCTAGCCCAACCCCCTGCTCAGGCAGGAAACCCTACACCATTTCAGACAAATGGCTGTCCAGTCTCTTAAAATCTTCCAGTGTTGGAGCATTCACAGCTTCTGGAGGCAGGTTGTTCCACTGGTTAATTGTTCTATCTGTCAGGAACTTTCTCCTTAGTTCTAGGTTGCTTCTCTCCTTGATTAGTTTCTTTAAATAGGAATGAGAGTAGAAATAGAAAATAGAAATAGAAGTAGGAATAGAAAGGAATAAGATTAGGAATAGGAATAGAATATTTTATTTGGCCAAGAGTGATTAGACACACAAGGAATTTGTCTCTGGTGCAGAAGCTCTTGGTGTACAAAGCAACAGAGGAATAATCATTGTCGTCATAACTAATAGAGGAGGTAGTAAGGAAGTTAAGAAGGATAACAATAATGCCACAGACGTACAATATGGGTAAATAGACATTAGACAACACTATAAGAATTAGGTGTTCAGCAGAGTGATGGCACAAGGGGGAAAAAACCCTGTCCCTATATCTAGTTGTTTTGGCATTCAATGCCCTATAGCGACATTCGGAGGAAAATATATTTTCCATTTAGATTATTCAACTGTTCCTTAGTAAGAAAAGTTTGTACACTCTGCTGTTTTTGTTTCAGAATGTCATTTCGTTTGAAGATGTAGCTGTGTTTTTCTCTGTGGAGGAATGGGCCCTGCTGGATTTGGAGCAAAAAACCCTGTATCGAAAGGTCATGCTGGACAACGCAAGGAACGTGGCTTCTTTAAGTAAGAGATTGTTTTTCTGAGCTTAAACTGCGGTGGGAGGTATTTTACAGTCAGACATAAGCAGTTAATTTCTTTCTCAGAGGAAATTAGTAGAAGAGAGTGTCCTTCTCTGCCTTTCTACTCCTACTTTGTTAACAGATGGTCTAAAACCTTGTACTCTCTCTAGCAATAGCACTTAAGACTTATATACCACTTCACAGTGCTTTACAGCCCTCTCTCTAAGTGGTTTACAGAGTCAGCATTTTGCCTCCAACAATCTGGGTCCTCATTTTACCCACCTCGGAAGGATGGAAGGCTGAGTCAACCTTGAACTGGTGAGAATCAAACTGC